GGGCGAAAGAAGGCTGCCTGGAGCATCCTGAAGGCTGCGGGGTGCAGCCTACAGCAGCGCCTCACAGCCTCCAGGCTTCCGGGGACAGCGTGGCCCGGGCGAAGGAAGGCTGCCTGGGGCATCCTGAAGGCTGCGGGGTGCAGTCTAGAGCAGTGCCTCGCAGCCTCGTGGCTGCTGGGGGCAGCGTGGCTCGCGAAGGAAGGCTGTCTGGCGCATCCTGAAGGCTACGGGGTGCAGCCTAGAGCAGCGGGGGAGCGCTGACTGAGCTCCAAAGGGACACTTCAGTGGCTGGCAGGTGCAGCCAGAGAGGCTGCACCGGCTGCGGATGGCTGTATTTTGGCTGACGTATGTCCGAATACAGCCAATGTCTGCAGCCATCCGAGTTCCATCCGCGCGTTGTAAGCAACCTGGAGGGAGCCAGCTTGCAGCCAATCTGCAGCCTATAATTTTCTCTCGGGAAATCATCAGAAATAACAGGAAAGGTTCACATTTGATTTCAGCTAAGTAAATAAATAAAAAAATACAGTTGTTTTTCCGTACATTGAAACAATGCAAATTGCTAGGGATACCTGCAACAATAATTTATTGTTACTACATTCATAACTTTAATTCAAATAACAGGAAAAGTAGCGATCGGCAACTTTGGCCCGTCCCCGTACATTCAGAAATGTACGAATTTCGCCTATGTTTAACCCTGATGTGATTTGAACTCAGTCTGGGGTCAATTAGATGTTATTTTCATCATCAGCACCCTCAAAAAAATCAGAAAAAATGCAAAAACCCGAATAAAAAGAATGTTTAAAATATACCCCACTGGGATTTGAACCCGGGTCGGAACTTCTCCGATTCGCTTATAACTGGCACCGTTGGTTTTGTCTTGTCGCCCTGATTCCAAAAATACCCCTACATGCCCTTCTAGCTGTATCCGTGGCCGAAATCCTCCTCGACCCCATGTAGACCACGATGCACCTGCAGCAGCGCCCCCGGGGCTCGGATCGGATTTGCTGCCACCGGGCGGTTCCTAGGATCACCTAAGGAGGCTGCATACCAAATTTGGTCAAGATCGGACCCCGGGAAGTCCTCGGACGGACGGACGCACAGCTTCGTCATTTTTTTACAAAAAATAAACGGGACGGGCCAAAAATGCTTAAGGGAAGGTGGGGTACCATGTGACGGTTTTTGTTAAATGCCCGTCAACCCAATAATACCAATCACATTACATCCATAAGTAGACATGTGAACAAAATGATTCTTCACCTTATAATTTCTGTTGAGATTTCTAATTTATCTGTTTTGGTTGCTGAGTTATCCCGAGTTGGATGGGCCAAGTCAAAGTGTCACTTCGTACCCCACGTAGTACACTATGTGACAGCCTTAGTGTACCATGTGACAGTGGCCTTTTGTCTGGGTTTAAATACTATTCAGCGTACACTGTTAAAAATCGTCGTAAATTTACGACATTTTGTAGAACAATTATGTCGTTTTAAAACGACATATTTTGTTACGACTCAAGTCGTAGATATACGACTTGAGTCGTAAATTTACGACATAGTTGTCGCTAATTTTGATAGTGAGACGTTCGGTTTTGAAACGAATTAAGTCGTAAATTTACAACTTAATCGTAATTTTACGAACGATCGTAATTTATCTTTTGAATATGTCGTGCAGTTATGACTTAAGTCGTACATTTACGAATCTTGTCGTAAATTTGTGTCATGAATCGTAAATGAACGACACAAATCGTAAATAAGCGAGCACAATTGCAACTTTTCATCAACTTTTCGGGGATTTCAGATTTCAAAATATGTAATCGCGATTACGACATTGTCGTAGAGAAATGATTTTTTCGTCGTTCAGTTACGACGAAGTAGTTTCAGAACGATTTCTGTCACTATCAAAATTAGCGACGTTTTTGTCGCTAATTTACGACAAAATTTCTAACAGTGTACCTACACTGTCAGCAAACTCCGTAAAAATACGGAAATTTAACGGAGACTGTCCATTTTTTTTTACGGAGATCTCCGTTTTTTTGAATTATGGATTTTCTCCGTAAAAATATGGAAGTTATGTATATAAATGAAATAGAAGCCCTACATATCAAAAAGAACAGACTAATTCACGTTATCGATGGGTTGGGTGACCAACTGATTAGGTGTTCCAAGCCTTCCCTAAAGCGACCTCGCCTTTGGGTTTCCGTCCATTTATCCGATCCTGGCATGTTGTCAAGTGGATCTTCAAACAGTTTTGGAGAATATCACTTTCGTCTTAAAGACCACTGTTTGCATTAACATCGGAGGTAGAAGGAGGGAAGTAAACCGTTAAAATGCGTTTATTTCTGCAAAAATGCGGTTCATCTCCGTAAAAATACGGAAAATCTCCGTAAAAATATGGAAAATCTCCGTAAAAAGATGGAAAATTTACGGAGCCTCCATTCCCAAAATTAGAGTAACTTTCTCCGTAAATTTACGGACTTTTTTTCTAACAGTGTATACGCAAAGAATGAACGAAGAAGTCTTCCAGCTTTTTATTTTCGTTGAGTTAATCAATTTATCATCTTTGGTTCCCGAGCAATAAAGGTTTTAGTTACTAGTGTACAAATGTCACAGACTGAACACATTCAACTGAGTGAATCGTGGAATCCCATAGCGAATGACAGTGGTGTCACATGGTGCCCAGATCAACAGTTTTAGGGGAAACAGCAATAACGCTCAAAGTTTATGCCGTAGAGAATCGAGCCAAAGCTTGTTTTGCGCTTAAAACATCAAAGAAGAACATCTTGCAGAGCATATGCCCTTAAAATGTATTTTAAAGGTAAAAAGCGGACGCGGTGGGAAATAGAAAAAGTTTCCAATGAGCTATTTTAAGACGGTTTCCAATTCTGATCGCTACCACTCCCGTCCTTTTCGAAGGAGAGTCACGACCTATTGCACGTAGATTCTCCTTCATGATACCTTCCTTTCAGTCTTCTTACCGCTGTTGGATAGCAAGCCGTTTGGGAGAAAAAGCCAAAGTCACATGGTGGCCGTGTCACATGGTACCCCACCTTCCCTTACGATAGAGGCATTTTTTTTAAGAAGTCCGATCGTGGAACACGACCGATGCCGATTTCCTCCATTTTTTGGTCAAAGGTAGTCCTTGTGGGTCTAAGAAAGGCCACAAATTTTTTGGGCCGAAATATGCACCGTTCAGATTCTATGGGCAATTTTCGTTTTCTCTGACAACTTTTCACATAATATGGCCAAAATTGAAAAATCACCTTTCTGAGGCCTCTATGCACTCGATTGAGCTCAAAATGTGGTATCTTATGTAAAATCACGCGAGGAACACGAATCCGGTGCCCGTTTGTTGATAGGACAACCCAAACAGATGTTATGACTGTTTTTCAGGTTTTGTAGTGGTTTTTACTTTTCTTGGGGTTTTGGTGTTCGGCATCGATTTTCGCCAATCCGATGAGTGGATTTTATAGATAAAGGACCAATCTATCATACTACGAGATAAAAAGTTTGTGTACGCCGCGTGAAAAGCAGTGGCGCTGCAAAAATTGAAAAACCGTCATTTCTGGGTAGTTTTAGATCAGATAAGCCACCTTTCGCGTGACCGTCTCCGCCCCATATTCAGTCTAAATATTGTCCCAAGTGATGTCAGAGTTGGTGTGAAATTTCACCGCTGTAGCTCAAGTAGTTTGGAAATGGCAGCTTTCTAAAGTTTTGCAATCACGTAAGGCATTTACTTTAAGTAGAATTGCGGTAAATGTGAAGACTTGTCACAGATCGGGTAATAAATGAGATAGATGAGTGCGTCAAAGTTCTTTAAGCGTAATTTTGGACAAGGAATCCGATTTTGCTGCTACGAAGACCCTAGGCGAACTCTGAAGTTGGAAAAATGGCCATTTTTATGTGGTTCGCACGAAAACGTAGTTTTAGAGTACACCTAGGGCCTTCGTACCGGCAAAATCGGATTCCTTGTCCAAAATTACGCCTAGAGAACTTTGACGCACTCATCTATCTCATTTATTACCCGATCTGTGACAAGTCTTCACATTTACCGCAATTCTACTTAAAGTAAATGCCTTACGTGATTGCAAAACTTTAGAAAGCTGCCATTTCCAAACTACTTGAGCTACAGCGGTGAAATTTCACACCAACTCTGACATCACTTGGGACAATATTTAGACTGAATATGGGGCGGAGACGGTCACGCGAAAGGTGGCTTATCTGATCTAAAACTACCCAGAAATGACGGTTTTTCAATTTTTGCAGCGCCACTGCTTTTCACGCGGCGTACACAAACTTTTTATCTCGTAGTATGATAGATTGGTCCTTTATCTATAAAATCCACTCATCGGATTGGCGAAAATCGATGCCGAACACCAAAACCCCAAGAAAAGTAAAAACCACTACAAAACCTGAAAAACAGTCATAACATCTGTTTGGGTTGTCCTATCAACAAACGGGCACCGGATTCGTGTTCCTCGCGTGATTTTACATAAGATACCACATTTTGAGCTCAATCGAGTGCATAGAGGCCTCAGAAAGGTGATTTTTCAATTTTGGCCATATTATGTGAAAAGTTGTCAGAGAAAACGAAAATTGCCCATAGAATCTGAACGGTGCATATTTCGGCCCAAAAAATTTGTGGCCTTTCTTAGACCCACAAGGACTACCTTTGACCAAAAAATGGAGGAAATCGGCATCGGTCGTGTTCCACGATCGGACTTCTTAAAAAAAATGCCTCATAACCATCTTGAACCATTTCTAGGATAATTTTTGAACCAACAAGCAAAACAACTTTATGTGTTGCTTATTTTTCCACTCGGGTGGTGACGCAGTTCCTTTTACTTGCCACGTGTTTTCTGGGAAAAGATCAGCCAAGTCACGTTTGACATCGGCTTCACGATGACTCAACAACTTTCAGCGCGGCTTTGGTTCGTGTCACTGAAACGGCACGAAATCGAGACAAAATGTCTGAGTTCACGCGAGTTATTGCGAATGAGTCTTGAATTGACGTCAGAAAACGTGTCGGTCGTCTGCATTTAAGGAAAACACCGCTAGTCCAAGCAAAAGCAGTCACATTGACTTACCATGGCTCGTGGAAAGGGCAACCACGGCTGGTCGGTGGTCCGGCTGGCAGTTGTGGCGGTGATGTGCTGCTTAAAGTAAGTACGGGAGAGAAGGTTAAGTCCGGACGTTTTTTTTCCTTTTGCTTTTTGAGCTTGAATATGCTTCTTGAATCTAATTTCATTACAGGAGAGTAGAGTATGAACCTTAACCTTCAAAATGATATACGTGAAAGCGAAATCTCATCAACGGTTAGGGAGATATATGGGCCTCAAAGCCTTGCACGTGTCCGGAAACCCGGGCTTGGGCAATTCCGGACGACCTTAAAATTTGACACTACTCGAGCTTACTTTCGTTTGTTCTAATAGGAGGCATAATTTAGAGGGCGTACAAGAACATTTGCTGAGAACTAAACTGTTTGATTATCACTCAAAGCTTTATTATGAGGAATAATTTCTATTTAAACCCCTACATTGACTCCACTTCTTTGAGTAAAGACCTTTTAACATCGCTGCAATGCTTTTTTGTTCGTTTTTTAACCTTCTTGACGGTGGGGATGCAGGATGCATGCCCACAAGTTTGAACCAACTACAATACACTGCCGCTCAAAATTAGCGGCTCCTATTTTTGGAAACGGGGCAGTTTCTCTTATCGAGCTAGGACGCTGAAATTTGGTCGGTGGGTGCCCCAACTGTTCTTCTTGAGCCTTGCGAAGTATGCGGTCTGTGCGTCACCTCTTCCTCCCTGTGCAAACCCTTCCGTGGTTAAGGGGGGACCCTGGTGAAAAAATCGCCAAAATTCCAATAAATAGTATTTTCAAAGTTCATAGATAAAAATGTGCATAGAAGGTTTCAGATTCAACAGGTTGAACACCTTTAAGCTGAAGGGGTAGTTTTTTTATCATTTGGAAGGAAATAACATTGAGATCAGTTGTCGTTGGCTTCTACGCTCAACTTCACAGCTTTGCTCAGTCGACAAAAAATTTTGTCGCAGAAAGACTTCCTGCGTTCCTGGTTGACACCTACATGAGTCGTCTTGCATGGACTCTATTCATTGATGACTTGTCGAAAAATTTTAGTGACGGAATCTTGATATCAGCCCTACTTTTTTTAAAACACACCTAAAAGTTTGAAAAAAGGGAAAAAAATCACTTTTTTCTTAATGTTAAAATTTGAAAACTCATATCTCAGGACAGAAGTTGAATTTGAAAATTCCGTCACTAAAATCTCTTCTATACATCTTTAGGATAACCCAAAAAAATTTTCAAGACTTTCCGTCCCAATGAAAGACGCAGGAAGATTTTTCCCCAACGCTCCAAAAAACACTAAAAAGCCACTTTTCTCAGAGACCGTTCAACATTTTGGATTGAATTTTGTTTTGGGAACTCACCATAATGAACCTAATAATTAAGCAAAGTTTCAACTTCCTGGGATTATTTTGAAGCCTACTTAAAAGTTTCACCAGGGTCCCCCCTTAAGGGTGTAAAATCCGCGATCAACATGGCGACATTTTTGACTTCAAGTGATCGGAAACGTGAAATTTGCTGTGCACCGACTCCATCTTGAACGGCGCTCCTACCCCTACCGGGCGAGCGGGGGTTGCAAGGGGGTGGCCACCCCTACAATAGTAGATGAACATTTCCGGAACAGGATTTTTTGATTGGAATGGCTTCGTTAGCACCCAGTGTGTCTCCCTATGAATTTCAACGCCCAAATTCAACCCCTTTGCTACTGAAACGGCACAGGGTACAAAAGGGGTAGGTCCTCCCGGGGGTTGGTGCAGCCGGGGGTGGTCGGATTCGAAAAAGAAAACTTGCAGCGTGTGCAGGGGAGGTCACTGGATCGTTTGCAGTCGGTTTCAGACATTTTCGAAAATCACCCCCCGGAGGGGGTGGGGGTGACTGTGGAAATGGGTGGGTTTGTCCGATTGCAATTCCGCTTGCACGGTTGTGAAGAGGAGACTCATTGGAGTCGGTGCACAACAAATTTCACGTTTCCGATCACTTAAAGTCAAAAATGTCGCCATGTTGATCTCAGATTTTACACCCTTAACATGTAAGAGCCCCCTTAAGGTACGATAAAGAGACGGAAATACGAGGTAGAGATCGTTCCCGCCCATTTTTCCCAAAACCAGATTCCCAAAAAATTAAGTCCCAAAATATAAAAGTTCCAAAGTGGACATTTCCAATTTGTGTTTTGCCAAAGTCTTATTTGTTCCAAAAGATATATTTCCCAATATTTATTTTCCCTCCGAATCAACTGATTTCCAAAAGCGGTGGAATTGTTGCATGGTTGGTACCTCTGCCTTCGCAGTACTTTCGATTGTTAGTGGCGGGCCAGAACAAACTGGTGGCGGGTTGGCTGAGATGGACGCCGAAATTTTGACAAATCGAAAGGGGGTGACACAATTACTGTACAAGGGACACATATTTTACCGAAAGGACGTGAAGAAGGGGAGGACTTACTGGATCTGCATAAGGAAGAAGGAGTGCAGGGCACCCTTCCCTGTACTCCTGCCTCAACGAACTGAAGAAGGAGCAGGGGGACACGGAGACCATCCTCATGGAGGTCAGGATGGGAAGGAAGGTGAAGCTGGCCCCGAAGAAGAAGTGGCGTGACCTTCAAACCCGCATCCGCACCATCGTTGGAGACTACCAGACCTACAAGGATGAGCACCGAGTCCTGGACTACCTCCGAACCCTGGGCCACCACTTCCAGCTATAAATTGTTTTTTTTTCCTTTGGGAATTTATTTTTTGGAACTTCAATACATTTGGAAAATTTGGAAAATAGGAATAAATATTTTGGACAACTTTTTTTTAGGCATTACAGTTTTAGGGAAAAATTTCTGTTGGGAAAATAGGATTGGGAAAAATGACCGTGAACCGGTAGAGATGTAGCTTTTGCCTATTTTTATGGTACTCTAATTTCGTGAAGCGACCACAGCCAAACGGCTTGACCTTCTACGTTGCCGATTTGGAATTATCATTTTTAACTGATTATCTTCCTCAGGCGGGCTTTTGAGCTGTATCTTCACTGAAACCCAGTAAAAACACTGCAAATGCAAAGGCGATACTAAAGTACATTTTTTGGCGATACAATTGAGTATCGCCAATAAACGGCCTTAGGGAAAAGTATTGCCTTCAGAACGGCGATACACAGAAGTATCGCCAAAATATGGCGATACTTTTGGGTATTGCCAAAACCACGGCATTAAACAAAGGTCTTGTACCCTTGATTTGTTCTACGTTTATTGCCAAATCGCGGCAATACTCCAAAGTATCGCCAAATTTTGGCAATACTTTTGTGTATCGCCGTTTTGAAGGCAATACTTTTCCGTAAGGCCGTTTATGGGCGATACTCAATTGTATCGCCAAAAAAGGTACTAAAAGTATTGCCGTTGGATTTACAGTGAATCAAAGTGTTCGGAAATGCCCCGATTCCAGAAGTACCCCACTCCGCTTTACCAGCGGAATCGCCGGTGGCAAGTTTGCTTGACAAAAAAGAAGCCAACTATTGGCACTTCTTGATTAGATTTCTCAATTAGCTTGCCGGTAACTTTAGGCGCCTGCAATGGCAATTTTTGGCCAGCTGGGAAAGGGCCAGGCATGCTGACTGACACTAAGTCTTATTTCACCACTGTGAACGTAGAAATTTGATTGCACACTAGAAATGACCGTGTATTTAATCCATTGCATGTAATCCTGATGTTTGGAGCTTCCGCGTTACAGCGTTGCAGCCCACCGGCATGCTGCGAGGCCGACGGTGGCCGAGGCCTCCGACCTCGTCTATCTGTTCCACCGACCCGCAGAGCCCGTCTTCTCCCTGCGGGGCGTGCACCGCAATGTGGCGTTCGACGTGCCTCGCCCCTACCTGGTAAATCAGTGGCTGGTGGCTCGCGACCAGCACACCTCACTTACTCTGCAAACTCAACAGTGTACTCGACCACTCTTTAGCAGTAGTGTACACAGATCACCTCGGGAGGAGCCTAGGAGAGGGGGAGTCAAAGTCGCACTTTTTGCCTACTTGCAGGGGCAAAGTAGCACGTTTTTCCTATCTTTCAGGCGACTGGCGGCTTTCAAGGGCACTGTGCGAAGAAACCACAGTGAATCCCGTTTATTTTTGTGCTGGGATTTTCTTTAGTTCAGAACACAGGATTTACTGTGCCTGGCTACAGTATTTACTGTATCTTGTACAAGATATTCCGTACTCCACTCCTGTGCTACAGTAAATCCTGTACAAAGTACAGTGGATCCTGTAAAAAAGGTACAGTAAATCCTGTACTCTGAACTACAGTGACAGCTGTACTAATCACTACAGGATTTACTGTGATGTTTTCCCACACTGTAAAAAATTAGTTCGTAAATTTACAAACAATTTATGGGTAATTTCGTTGCACAAATTATCTGTAAATTTACAACGTCTTTTTGTTTATTAACGATTTATGAATTATTCTTCACGCAGTAATTTGTAAAATTACAAACTTTTTACACCCTCAAAATGACGTGGACCGCTTTTGTTCTACCTTGTCACGCTGATTAAATGGAGATTAACTTATTTCAGCGTTGTTGTTTAGTTTTATGAAACATCTTGTAAAATGATGAAGGCATCACCATATCTCGTAATCTTACAAGCGATTTGTGCAACGAAATTACCCAAGCATTTGTTGTAATTTTAGGAAACTTTTCATGTTTTTGTGACATTGTTGTAGTATTTTAGTCACGTTTGAGATGTATTTTGTTCGTACCATTTCATACGGCGGTGTTCACGAACAAATTTAATCAAATTAAGAAGATTTCTGTGATGAATAATTCATAAAACGGCCTCTACGAATAAATTTCATAAAATAACGAAATGTTATTGTTACTTTACAGAGAATTTGTAAAAAAAAAAAATTCGTAAATTCACAATAATTTTTTACAGTGCACAGTGGGGCTAGAGAGGGGGGGCAAAAACCCCAGTGCCCCTCCCCCATAGCCCCTTGATAGCCGCCTGAAAGATAGGCAAAAAGCGTCTTGGCCCCTGTAAGTACAGTACCAACTCGATCGCTGTCGCGCGACAGCGATTGTGAGAGCAGTGCGTTCGCTGCGACTAGCCCCGGCCGCGCTGGCGAGCGCCACAGCGCTCCGGCCGGCTGGGGCAGCCTAGCGGCAGATGGACGCCGAGCAGACGAGCTGTCACCTACCAGCCGGTGAACGCCAGGGCAAGGGGGGCGGGGAGGGTGCATGGCTAGGCTCGGTCCGGCCGCTGGCTGGCCCGAGCGAGCGCGCGTCGGCGCTGCCGGCAGCTCGGGCCGGCAAGCGAAGCGGGCTAGCGCCGAATCCTATGTCCCTCTCGCACACGACAGCGATCGAGGCGACAGCGATCGAGTTGGTACTGTAGGCAAAAAGTGCGACTGACACCCCCCTCCCCCCCCCTCTCTCTCCATTTTTCACTTCTTCGATTCATTTTTAAAAGATGCCGGCATGCACAACTCAAAACGTAAACTACATTTTTATTTGCAAGCTTTCTAACCAATCATTTCACTATAATTGATCAAAAATGTACAAAATAGACAAATTTTCGGGACTTTTCCGCTTAAAAAGCTTACAGTTTACAATATAATGGAGATTTTGAGCTATGCATGCCGGCATTTTTGGAAAATGAATCGAAGAAGTGAAAAATGTCAAGGTCAACCTTTTACGACAAAATAGTATGCGCAAGGAGATATTTTAAGATACAGCCTAAATATGCTCAAAAAGACTCTTTGACTGGGTTCAGAGCCTGGGATGTGCCTTCAAAAATCAAATTTTAGTCTCCTCCACTGTTAAAAAAAGTTATGAATTTTCAAAGCAATTTTGATGACAATTTTCCGAACACGGATATGAATTTTACAAACATTGCAATTTTCATAACTTGATGCGAAAATTCGAAACAATTTCGTAAAATTGACAATTGTTGGTAATTTTCAAACCATGTTCTGAAAATTGCGAATCTTAAGTGTTGATTTGGAGCACACAATAGTAATTTTCCGAATCCGATCGTAAATTTCATAACTGGCTCAAGAGGCGTGGCTAAGGGGCGCTTGTAGAGTCATCAGGCAGCTGACCCTCCATCCCCAGTGGAACGTGGTAGCACAGCGGTAAAGAGCGTGCTCCACAAGTCAAAGATCCCGGGTTCGAAACTCGCTGATCAAAAGCAGAATTGGTTCAATAAATGGCATAAGGCCGCATAGGTGTTCATATACATGAACACTAAGTTCCTTTTGCTTAACTGCCCTAAAATGACCTCGCAAACGCGAATATGAATTTTCATAACGTGATATGAATTTTCATAACGTGATTGTAAAACAATTTACAATCATTTCTGATTTTAATTTTCATAACAATTGTTTGTGAAAAAAAATGCCAACCAATGTTATGAAAATTTCAATTGATTTTTTTAACAGTGTCGAAGAAAGATTTTATATTCCGAACAAATTATGATACTGGGATCCATTTTGAAAATGGCAAGATTTTCACCAGAACCTCCCCTTAAAACTGCCGTTTCCAGTGGCGTCGGAAGTCCCTCAGGGCCCAAGTTTCGTCGCTCTACAGGGAACGGTAGGGAAACAGGACCCATTTTTCACTTTTTATAGAAAAGTTTTGAAAAGTCTTGAATAAAAACTTTGAACCGCTATATCTCGGAAACTACTGGGGCTACGGCTGTGAGATTTAACAAGGATGTTCCTCCCTATGAGGGCAACATTTGATGTAAATATGAGCAAAATACGAGATGGTCGATTAAGGTCGTGTAAATCTACCATGGAACGCCCATAAGTAGTAAACTAGGCACACTCTCGTTAGATTGTACTCAGCTGAGTGAGTACTCTCTCGCAGAAGGAGCGTACTAGTGAGTACACGCCGAATACAGTGTACTGAGCTCACTGTTGAGTTTGCAGAGCAGTGACAAAGAATGAGGCCCTTAAGAGCATCCACATTACGATTTTTTGCGATGAAAAAGCTCAGATGGATCTCGGGAGTATTCAAACGAACGTAACCGGTTACGTTCCTGCAGTGAGAGTGCGGATAGTAACGGCTTGCGGGTGAAAAGCGTAACCGGTGCGTCTACCTTTCGCCGCAGCCTGAGCGCTACCGCCACGTTGCTCAAGAGATCCGTGCTGCCGCCTTGCGCAGCGGCGCACGCCTCATCCTGGTGCCCAATCTTCCAATGCCAGAGAAAGAGTTCGCAGATGTCAACGGGATCCTACCTTACCGGAGTCCGTTTACCATCTCGGCACCAACGTTTCTCAACCTCGTCAGACGATTCTGGCACTTTTTTCGTGGTAAGTTCTTGCAACGGTTTTTGTAGAGGCATTTTTTTTAAGAAGTCCGATCGTGGAACACGACCGATGGCGATTTCCTCCATTTTTTGGTCAAAGGTAGTCCTTGTGGGTCTTAGAAAGGCCACCAATTTTTTGGGCCGAAATATGCACCGTTCAGATTCTATTGGCAATTTTCGTTTCCTCTGACAACTTTCTACATGATATGGCCAAAATTGAAAAATCACCTTTCTGAGGCCTCTATGCACTCGTTTGAGCTCAAAATGTGGTATCTTATCTAAAATCACGCGAGGAACACGAATCCGGTGCCCGTTTGTTGATAGGACAACCCAAACAGATGTTATGTCTGTTTTTCAGGTTTTGTAGTGGGTTTTACTTTTCTTGGGGTTTTGGTGTTCGGCATCGATTTTCGCCAATCCGATGAGTGGATTTTATAGATAAAGGACCAATCTATCATACTACGAGATAAAAAGTTTGTGTACGCCGCGTGAAAAGCAGTGGCGCTGCAAAAATTGAAAAACCGTCATTTCTGGGTAGTTTTAGATCAGATAAGCCACCTTTCGCATGACCGTCTCCGCCCCATATTCAGTCTAAATATTGTCCCAAGTGATGTCAGGGTTGGCGTGAAATTTCACCGCTGTAGCTCAAGTAGTTTGGAAATGGCAGCTTTCTAAAGTTTTGCAATCACGTAAGGCATTTACTTTAAGTAGAATTGCGGTAAATGTGAAGACTTGTCACAGATCGGGTAATAAATGAGATACATGAGTGCGTCAAAGTTCTTTAAGCGTAATTTTGGACAAGGAATCCGATTTTGCCGGTACGAAGACCCTAGGTGTACTCTAAAACTACATTTTCGTGCAACTCACATAAAAATGGCCTTTTTTCCGACTTCAGAGTTCGCCTAGGGTCTTCGTACCAGCAAAATCGGATTCCTTGTCCAAAATTACGCTTAGAGAACCTTGACGCACTCATCTATCTCATTTATTACCCGATCTGTGACAAGTCTTCACATTTACCGCAATTCTACTTAAAGTAAATGCCTTGCGTGATTGCAAAACTTTAGAAAGCTGCCATTTCCAAACTACTTGAGCTACAGCGGTGAAATTTCACGCCAACCCTGACATCACTTGGGACAATATTTTGACTGAATATGGGGCGGAGACGGTCACGCGAAAGGTGGCTTATCTGATCTAAAACTACCCAGAAATGACGGTTTTTCAATTTTTGCAGCGCCACTGCTTTTCACGCGGCGTACACAAACTTTTTATCTCGTAGTATGATAGATTGGTCCTTTATCTATAAAATCCACTCATCGGATTGGCGAAAATCGATGCCGAACACCAAAACCCCAAGAAAAGTAAAAACCACTACAAAACCTGAAAAACAGTCATAACATCTGTTTGGGTTGTCCTATCAACAAACGGGCACCGGATTCGTGTTCCTCGCGTGATTTTACATAAGATACTGCATTTTGAGCTCAATCGAGTGCATAGAGGCCTCAGAAAGGTGATTTTTCAATTTTGGCCATATTATGTGAAAAGATGTCAGAGAAAACGAAAATTGCCCATAGAATCTGAACGGTGCATATTTCGGCCCAAAAAATTTGTGGCCTTTCTTAGACCCACAAGGACTACCTTTGACCAAAAAATGGAGGAAATCGGCATCGGTCGTGTTCCACGATCGGACTTCTTAAAAAAAATGCCTCAGAAAAAAAAAAACTGACACATTAAAATGTCATAGGACATGCCAGGGGGTGGCAACGGCCTTAAAAAGAGCGTGAAGCGATGCTCGCGCCGTCAGTGCAGAGGTTGCGTACTTGTTCGAGATTATGAAAAGTAGACTGTTTTATTCAAAACGCTTTGCACCGATGGAAAGAGCTTGGAATTTACGGTGCATTAGGCTTATTGCTCTTCTCGAAGCTCCTCCCTTACATGATATTAAGGTGCAGTGAAAACACCAAAAAACAAGAGAAATCATCAAATTTAGGAAAAAACTCGGATGCGCCATGTTGATGTAAATGATTCCGCCCTTGTGTTCGGTTGAATTGGAAGTATCATGCAATCTACTAGGCCCAATGCACCCCAAATTTTGTGCTCTTTTGATCTGTGGAAAGCGTTTTGCAATCAACGGCCTAGATCTCACAATCGAAGCAAAATAAGTAACCCCTGCACCTCACTCGCGCATGGCTTCACGCGCTTCCTAGGCCGTTGCCGCCCCCTGGACATGCTTTGACGCTGTTTAACACATTCGCTCCGGAGCGAGAACGGTGTTCTCGTCGCTTTCCACGATTTTCCATCCATTTAAGGGGGTAGTACACTTCGCAAGGTTTAAAAAATTGTGTTTTCGAAAATTATTTGCGGGTAGAGGAGGTAAGGTACGTCAGACCTTATTTAATTTTCATTTTGGACCAAAATCACTTGTATGGAGCGCAGTTGGAGGCAGCAATTGCGACTTCCACGAATTTTTCGAAACCAGTGCAAAAATAGCACGGTTTACGTGATACAGACCGCAATTTTCATCCGATTTGGACGAGATTTCGCACAAACAACCTTGAGACCCGTCATTCTGGTGTGAACTAGGATAATTGTGATCAATTTTGTTTTACTATATTTAAACTTAAGTTTTTTGAAAGAAAATGGGATAGAAAAATGCTGTTTTCTGAATTTGTCATTTTGTCATGTTGTTTGAGGTACTAATAACTATTGCAAAAAATTTTCCTCAGTTCACATCAGAATGACATGTATTTACATGGTCCACACAAAATTTGGACCCTTTAGGTCCCACCGTTTGGTCCAAATCGCGCAAACCAACCACCTGTGTATTTTTTGCAGTCGTTTAGAGAAATTCGACAAACTCGCAATAGCTGCTTCAGACACCTATCAAAATTTGTGATTTTGATCATTATTTACAGTATGAAGAGATCCCATGATCAGTTTTGACGCCCCGTATGTCATGCGTCCGCAAAAATTTAACGCAAACACAGTATTTTTTGACCTTGCGTAGTGTACTACCCCCTTGATTTCACTTCCGAGTGAACGTGCCAAGCACATCCGGCGTCGTTGATAGTTTGTTCCCGCATGGTGACACATATTGTCGAACGCTTACTTTATTTTGTACTAATGTATTCTGCCTAGTGGACATAAAATTGTATCACTCTCGGATGTCCTTAAAATTGCGTCATCCTTGGGGCTAAAAGAGTCCTAAAACATTCTGTGTGGACGTTTTTTTTAGTGTGGAGTTACGAAAATACGTTACAACTGCGTGTGCTGTTTTGTTTTTAGACAGCAAAACGGTGCCTGAGCTGGTGGCAAAGGCTGTGTGGGCTCGACTTCATTTCAACCCGGAGATGATTCTGCACACACTTCTTCTCACGATGTTGAGGTCCTCTCTTAAGGGTGTAAAGGTAACGTGTGTGACTCTAAGGCATCTGAGCACTGCCTAGGAGTGAATACACGCTACTGAGTCAGTACCGGCGAGTGACTGAGTATACCGTTGAATTCACTGAAAGGTGGCTGCAATTCATTGATACACAAATGATATTAATGTTGAACTCTAAAATATGCAAATTAAATCTCAAAGTTCTGTCCCCTTAATTTTAGCCCGCAGGATAGTGTATCCAAAGAGCCCCTACCAAACTTCACCACAACAAAAGTTTCACAAAAGCTTGTGTGGTCACACTTCTGTTCCAGGACGTTCAGATACCAGAGCTTCCCCAGTACATTCCTGAACTTTACACAGACGACGAGTTCTTTGCGAAGGTCCGCGAGGAGATGTACTTCCTTCCAGAAAAAAATAGAGTAAGTTAACTCGTCACCGAAACATAATTGAATAATTGCTTCAATTCCTCTGAGGGCATGCTTGGTATGTCGGTGGCAACTTTGACTGAACCTGAAGAGTTTGAACTCAAATACGCACATAGTACGAGACGATTGACTCGATGGCGAAATTCTGCCTTTACGTCATACGTCAGGAACCTTGGAACCTGTAAAACTTTAACATACCTTGTGCGAAGCGAATTTCTTATAAAGGAATCTGTTAAAAAGCCTTTCCAAGTATTCGGGCAAACTCTCTTACAAACTTTCTTCTTTGCATCACGATGTACTTATGCAACTTGTGAAGAAATTGCTCTGAAACGTTACAAACCAATGCTTCGCAACGTTGCAAACTTTTTCTTCTCAGCTTACGAACTAGTATTTCTTTGCAATGCGAAGAAAAAAGTTCGCGAGGGAGTTTGTAATGCAAAGCCGGAGACTCGTGATGCAAAATACTTTTCTTTGCATGCTTTTGAATGTGAGCTTTTACCCTATCACGAACCGGTCTCTCGCGAAATCCTTGATTAGATCCCGGTGCCCGTGTTGAGAAACGTGACGGCGGATAAGGAGTCACCGCTGTGGTACTTCCGGGAAGATCCTAATTACAACGTGTTCCACTGGAAATGGCATGCGAGGTACCCCATGGGATACGACGACCCGCAGTACGTGGACCTGCCTCGCCGAGGAGAATTGTTCGTGCATCTGCATCGGCAGATTGTTGCTCGGTGAGTCCTGCTCGAACGTGACGAAAGTCACATTGTAACAATTATGACATGTTTTATGCAGTCTTAAAAGCCTGCAAAGAAAAGTACTTACCAGTAGTATTATCCAGCTATCAATTACGAAAACCCTTGCGATGTTTCTCGCATTGGAATGGAATAGTTTTGTAAGTTGCGGAGGAAAACATCCGTTCCGTTGCGAAACATTTATTTTTCAACGTCTCAAAGTATTTCCTTTGCCATTTGAAAACTAATACTTCGCAAGAATAAGTGGGAACGAAGTGAAACAGGACTTTTTGGTCCGCCCTTCTATTCTGAATGAAGGGGCAGGACCTGTACCGTTGTGTCTGCACTGCAAATTGGATGAACAGACTTCTCGCCAAAATTTGGCGAGACATTTGGTCAGACCTGAAAGTCTCGCCAAAATTTGGTCTGACAAAGAAGTCTCACAACAAAATGGCCAGACACAAAAATCTCGCTACAAAATGGCCAGACTTCTGTGTCTGACCGCCGCCTTGAGGCCGTAATGCGCCGGATGGTTACGGGCTACAGACCGTGGTCACACACAAAAGTCCCGCCATTTTGTGGCAAGACTTTTTTGTCTCACCAAATTTTGGCGAGACTTCCAGGTCGGACCAAAACCTGAGTGGTGAGCAGTCTGACCTTTGTACTTGTAGCGTGTATCTTCGTTGTAGTCGCGGTATTGTGTTGGGGCCTGTTTTAGACCAAGATCTCGCCCCCTCGCTCTAAATCATCGACACTCCTTCACCTGGATGAGACCGTTGTCGTATAGGGTACTTCGGAGGAAACCTAGACCGAAGTCCGACAGAACGGAGAAACAAAAGCATCGCGCGCCGTGCTGAGCGTGGTGGGGGCCGGAATCGGCAGAGTGGGGGTAGATGCGCGCGCCGCCTTCACCCCACTCCGCCGATTTCGACCCCCACCACAACTCAGCACGGCCGCGCATGCTCTTTTTTTCTCCCGTCTGTCGCTGAGGTTCCGTCTAGGCTTTTTCGAAGTCCCTTCCGGTGTATGCTGCCAAACCTGAACGAAAGAAGTGCCTGTCAGGGCCTGGCTTTGCATGCGTAAGAAGCCTTTTTTATTTTTATCCAGGTACAACGCTGAGAGACTTCACTAACTGTTCTTCCGGCAGCTGCCGATGGATTGAGGGAAGCCGCTACAATTTCGGCTCTTTCCGAAAGATAGGTTCATCTAAACGGGGCAGTGCAACCATTGGCAACAAGCCAACACATCGCTTGTAAGTTTTACATTTATTAAAGATGGAAATGAGATGACTTCCCTTTTTCTATTTTTTCGGATGACGGAGGTTGGGAAGTTCCTTCATTTTCGTGAGTCTTTGGGTATCTGGAAAGTTAAGTAATGTAAAGTGTCTTCCCCCTTCTTAAGAAGGCCAGAAATTTTTGCTTGTAAGGGTTTTGTTGTACTTCTCTCTGACAAATTGCTTAAGGGAGACTCATACATGTTACATAGACTATTTTAAAATTTATTCTTGACGTAGACCGCTAAGATTTTACCAATTTTTTTAAAGATCCTTAGATAATGAAAAGCTTAATTTTGGCTTTAAAGGAAAGTGATTTGGACAAAATTTTTTAGAATTTAGTCGAAACGTTTAAAATTTTGCTTCTCGAGATTTTGTTCGCTACTTGCTCAGATCTGTGGGGGAAAAATCAGGGAGACTCATCCCCAGTAGTGTCATAGAGCTAATTTATTTAATACGTGCAACGCCTTCCCATGACCCCCTCCGATTTTGACCAAAATTTTTTTCTGAGATGCCCTTATGGTAAGAAAAAACATCCTAAAATATTAGGTCGCTAAAAAATTTATTGGCCGAGAAAACAAATGTTTTCTAAATTTGCCACTTTTTTTACTTAATTTGGGAGTTTCTTTACTACTCTGAGGTTTTTGGTGCTAAGTGGCTGAAAATCAGTATTCTTATGTAAAATTGCCCAAGGAACAAGAATATGGTCACAGATTTGACCTACGACCGATATCTTGAGAAATACTTACCCAAAACGACCAAATTTTACTGAAAATACCCAAATTTTGGGGAAACGGTCAAAAATATTTTTTATCCACGATCCGTTGACGCCATCTTGTAGAAAAAGAGCTAATAAAGCTAATGAGCACACGCCCAGGTTCGTAGCTCAAACCGTTTAGAAGCTGTAAGGCGTCGAAGTTGGAGATTTTTTGAGGGGGCCTGAATACCGGCACTTTTGACCTCTGCGCTCAATGTCCGGCACCCGAGCCGTACCAGCCATCATCCTTGCTTTCGAGGTGAGGTCTGCGTGCGCAATGGGAGTCAAGAAGAGGGTGAAGCGGCACAGCGTTTCTGAACAGGGTCCTCTTTAGAGCGCCTGAACAGCCGAGGGTTGGTAAGCTCACCAAGCGGCGCTTGGAAAGCACTCGCCGCACCGTGGGCTCGCTCAAGGCCACGAACAATGCTATTCGGTGTAAGTCTAAAACTGTCGCCCTCGACAAGCTTCGGATTCTGTTGGCTGCCCCTTCCTTCTCTCTCTTTCCCACATGGTCCAAAGCCGTTGCCCCCGACCCCTCAACCTGCCCCCAATACCGGATATATTGTTTCAGATGAATTTCAAGCTTTTTGTCGGAAGCTGTCGCCCTTTACTAAGCTTAGGAAGTTCTTCGGAATCTGTCGGCGTTTCCCCGGCGGTTTTCTCACTTTCCCAACCCTGAGGGGTCGAGGGCGAGGGGTTTGAAAAGTTATGGGAAAGGGTGGAAAACAGCAAGGGGCAGCCGACGACTCGCGATTCTCTTCCGAACCTTCCTGAGGGCGACAGCTTGAGACCACTTTCTATTTTCTCTGACCTTTTTCTCTAGTTTTATTCGCAAGGTTCAATACTTTAAGGCGGTATAAATAGGTATTAAATACGATATTATTGATTTCCGGAGCGAAACGCATGAGCTAAGCAAGCACCCCTACTTCGCATTACTTACACCTCATTCCAGCTTTTAAATTTTTCCCAATCCTGCACTGTGGGAAAAAATCACAGTAAATCCTGTAGTGATTAGTACAGCTGTCACTGTAGTTCAGAGTACAGGATTTACTGTACTTTTTTTACAGGATCTACTGTACTTTGTACGGGATTTACTGTTACCACAGGAGTGGAGTACGGAATATCCTGTACCAGGTACAGTAAATGCTGTAACCAGGCACAGTAAATACTGTGTCCTGAACTACAGTAAATCCCGGCAAAGAAATTAACGGGATTTACTGTGGTTTTTTCGCACAGTGTGGTTGCGATTTTCCCTTACCTAATTACGGTTTTCCCTGACCTCCAATGCCTCTTTAAATTTACCTTACTTTACTATGACTCCCCTTATTTCTCTGACCAGTGTGAAAGTGTGAACCTTGCGTTGCCCTCGAGCTGTCGACCGCACTCTCAGACTGTTATTGACTTGTCTCTAGTTAAAGAGCATTTTACACAGCAATAAAAAGTACTGTTAATATCTATGTAAGAGTTTGTTCGTTATATTGACGTAAGAAGATTATTTTCAAGCTTTTGTTCGGTTATGGTCTCAAGCTGTCACCCTCAGGAAGGTTCGGAAGAGAATCGCGAGTCGTCGGCTGCCCCTTGCTGTTTTCCACCCTTTCCCATAACTTTTCAAACCCCTCGCCCTCGTCCCCTCAGGGTTGGGAAAGTGAGAAAACCGCCGGGGAAACGCCGACAGATTCCGAAGAACTTCCTAAGCTTAGTAAAGGGCGACAGCTTCCGACAAAAAGCTTGAAATTCATCTGAAACAATATATCCGGTATTGGGGGCAGGTTGAGGGGTCGGGGCAACGGCTTTGGACCATGTGGGAAAGAGAGAGAAGGAAGGGGCAGCCAACAGAATCCGAAGCTTGTCGAGGGCGACAGTTTTGGACTTACACCGAATAGCATTGTTCGTGGCCTTGAGCGAGCCCACGGTGCGGTGAGTGCTTTCCAAGCGCCGCTTGGTGAGCTTACCAACCCTCGGCTGTTCAGGCGCTCTAAAGAGGACCCTGTTCAGAAACGCTGTGCCGCTTCACCCTCTTCTTGACTCCCATTGCGCACGCAGACCTCACCTCGAAAGCAAGGATGATGGCTGGTACGGCTCGGGTGCCGGACATTGAGCGCAGAGGTCAAAAGTGCCGGTATTCAGGCCCCCTCAAAAAATCTCCAACTTCGACGCCTTACAGCTTCTAAACGGTTTGAGCTACGAACCTGGGCGTGTGCTCATTAGCTTTATTAGCTCTTTTTCTACAAGATGGCGTCAACGGATCGTGGATAAAAAAAATTTTTGACCGTTTCCCCCCAAAAATTTTGGGGATTTTCAGTAAAATTTGGTCGTTTTGGGTAAGTATTTCTCAAGATATCGGTCGTAGGTCAAATCTGTGACCATATTCTTGTTCCTTGGGCAATTTTACATAAGAATACTGATTTTCAGCCACTTAGCACCAAAAACCTCAGAGTAGTAAAGAAACTCCCAAATTAAGTAAAAAAAGTGGCAAATTTAGAAAACATTTGTTTTCTCGGCCAATAAATTTTTTAGCGACCTAATATTTTTTGGATGTTTTTTCTTACCATAAGGGCATCTCAGAAAAAAATTTTGGTCAAAATCGGAGGGGGTCATGGGAAGGCGTTGCACGTATTAAATAAATTAGCTCACAGAATTGACTAGAATGGGCTTTATATCTGCAATAGTTTTCAAGAAAAAAAATAAAAACAATTTTTTAAACAATTTTTTAAACAAATTTTTCAACAAAAAATTGTTTTTATTTTTTTTCTTGAAAACTCTTGCAGATATAAAGCCCATTGTAGTCAATTCTATGACACTACTGGGGATGAGTCTCCCTGATTTTTTCCCCACAGATCTGAGCAAGTATGCGAACAAATCTTACGAGAAGCAAAATTTAAACGTTTCGACTAAATCTCTAAAAAATGTCCAAAGTCACTTTCCCTTAAGCCAAAATGAAGCTTACTCAATTATCTAAAAGGATTTTAACACAGAAATTGTAAAATCTTAATCCGTCTACATCAAAAAATTTTTTTAGAAAAGTGCTTTTAACATGTATGAGCCCCCTTAAGGCATAAATGGTCTTTCTGATTTCCAGTTTCGTTCTTCTTGTTCTCAAAGCCACGATTTAATAGCTGTTTCCAGCCCATTCGTTATTCGACATACCTTCCTCGCGAAGCTCGTTTTAACCGGTTATTAGTTCTCCTTTTGTCAAAGCCTTCAAAGAGAAGGTGTAATAGAAAGTCACGAAAGCTTCATTATAACTTCTGTTTTTGTTACAGCCGATAAAAGACTTCGTGCAGAATCATTTCAAGCAAAGAGCCTTGTACGAGGAAGTACTCAAACAGGACTATGTGGTGTATGTAAGTCACCGAGTAGTAATTCCTAAGGCTTTTTGATAGATGGCGGATTTGCTCTCGAGAGCTGTGACCTCCCTTTTTAAATT